ACACTTTATGAAACTTGCTTCGATCAGAAAGCTATCTATTATCTTATTCCAAGCTCTAGGGGCTTATTTCAAACCATAGAGAGCCTTCCTTAATCAATAAACCTTCAACTTCTTCCTTTTAATGTCAAATCCTAGTGGTTAAGTAACATAGACCTCTTCTTCCAATGGACCATTCAAAAATGTTGACTTTACATCCAATTGATGTATCTTCCATCCTCTATATGCTGTTGTCAAAATAACAATTCTGATTGTTTCTACCCTTGCAACAGGTGCATAGACTTCATCAAAGTCGATACCAGGTTTTTGTAGAAAACCTCTCACCAACAATCTTGCTTTATACTTCGCGATCTCACCATTTGGCCTTTGTTTCACCTTGTAGATTCACTTTACATCGATTGGATTCTTATAAGTTATTTCGACAAGCTCCCAGGTTTTGTTCTTCTCAATAGCTCTGAGTTATTCTTCCATGGCTTCACACCAATTCAAATTACTCAGGCTTCACCCAAGTCAATTGGTTCTGCTTCAGCCATCATCGTGGCTTCTTCGATTAAATCACCATCTGCATCAACTGCTTGACCTGGAAATCTTTCATATCCAGCTAGCCTTGTTGACCCAGTTCTTGTTCTTATCGACCTTCTTTTATTCTGCACAGGTGGTTCTTCATTTTGACAGGTTGAAGCATCATCTTGTTCATTTTGACTCGTTGAAGCTTCATTCCGTTGATCTTCTTCGAACACAGTTGTGACCATATCTGATTCCTGTCAAACTGAACCTTGACTCAAGTCCCACCCTTTGCTTTCGTCCACAAGAACATCTCGACTAATCACTAGTTTATCTTTATTTGGCGAATACAACTTGTGTGCATCAGTCGAATGATAACCTATAAGTATCATTATCTCACTTCGATCATCCAACTTCTTTCTCAATTATTCAGGTACATGTTTGAAACACATTGATCCAAAAACTATAAGATAACTCACATTTGGCTTCGACCCTGTCCAAGCCTCATAAGGTGTTCTTTTGACCATCTTCTTTGTTGGACACCTATTTAGAATGTATATTGTTGTCGAAGCTACTTCATCCCAAAATCTCTTAGGCATATCTTTAGCTTTTAACATACTTCTTGTCATGTTCAATATACTTCTATTCTTTCTCTCAACTATTCCAGTATACTGAGGTGTATAGGGTGCAATAACTTTATGATTTATACCTTCCTTATCGCAAAATCTAGCAAATTCAGAAGACATATACTCACCACCTCCATCAGTTCTCAACTTCTTTAACTTGAATCCACTATGTTTCTCAGCATGTAACTTGAACTTCTTGAATTGTATGAATACCTCACTCTTTCTTTCAATAAGGTAAATCCACATATGTCAAGTTAATTCATCAATGAAAGTAAGGAAGTACCTGTTACCTCCATTTAACTTTACTTCAAAAGGTCCACACACATCAGAATGAACCAGCTCCAGTTTTTGATTTAATTTCATGGGCAAGTCATGTTTGAATGCCTTCCTCGCCTGCTTTTCTTTGCAACATTATTCACACACCTATTTTGGTTCCTTCACATAAGGAAACCCAAACACCATCCTTTTTTGATTGAGCACGCATAAACTTCTGAAGTTTAGATGTCCATACATGTGGTGCCATAACCAGTTATTGTCTTCTTCTATAGTTGAAGCGAGACATTTGTGATATGGTGTGTTGAATTCAACTTTTAATATTTTATTTTCCGTCAATGGTGCTTTCATTATTAGCCTCTCATCAGCCTTATATACCTTCATCTGATTCTTCTCCAGCTTCATATTGAAACCTTTTGCAAGTAACTGACCTACACTTATCATATAAGATACATACAACACTTCAGTAATAGTGGCCTTTCGACCACCGTTCCTGACAATTAAAATATCTCCTTTACCACCTGATTTGATGTGCCTACCATCTGCAAATTTTATCACCTTTTCGACTCACTCATCTAACTTGATAAACCAGTTTTTATTTCCAGTCATGTGGTTGATGCATCCTGAATCCAGATACCACATGTTATTCTTCTTAGGGCTCAACTGAGTGTTGACCATCAATAACACATCATCAAAATCATTATCTCCAGCTCGTGCATATTGAACTTCATCACTATCTTTCTCCCTTGTTGCTTTCTTTCTTCGACAGTCTTGAGCATAGTGACCAAAACCTTGACAATTGTAACACTGCACCTCTTTCGTGTCAACTTTCTTCCCATAATACTTGTTTCTCACACCTTTCTTGATCGAATAAGTATTCTTGCTTGACTTCTCATCACTAGCAAGATTCTTTCGCTGCTTCGACTTCTCTTTTCCATCTTTCTTATTGAATCTTAATTGCAATGCATGTTCAGCCACCTTCTCTCTTTCTGGGTTTCTCTGCTTTAACCTCATCTCATGAGCCTCTAATGAAGCTTGAAGTTCTTTTAACTTCATCTCTGATAGAGTCTTTGTCTCTTCAATTGTCACAACAATGTAGTCAAAATCTATCGTCAATGATCTTAACACTTTCTCAATCTTTTGCAGATTTGTAACCGATTCACCACATGTCTTCATATGGCTTGTTAACGTCACAATTCTTAAGAAATATGCAGAAATTGATTCATCTTATTTCATTTAAATCATCTCGTATTGCTTCATTAGCGTTTGCAACTTCACCTTCTTTAATTTCTCATCTCCACCATACAAGTTTTTTAACTTGTCCCACACTCCTTTTGTCGTTTCTTCTTCAATTATCTTCTCAAATACATTGGAATCCACACACTGGTGAATCAAGAATATTGTTTTACCATCTTTCTTCCTCTGATCTTTGTGCACAGTTTTCTGAACCTCAGTCGCATTTGCTTCCAATTCTGGTAATCCATCATTCAAGATTTCAGCAACATCTTGAAATCTGAAAATAACTTTCATCTGTGCAACCCATCATTGATAGTTTTCTCCTTTGAAAACCGGTAGATTCGTTGAAAACTGCATTGACGTTGTTGTTCTATTTTCCTTTAGATTCTCTATGAATCGCAACCAAACTCTATTATACCAATTTGTTGAAACAAAGGGTTTTCAAGAAAAATGATTTATGAAATAGGAAGAAGAAGAAGAAGAAGATAGAGAGAGTGAGATTGAAAGTTTGTTACGATTCTAAGTGAATTGTGATTGCATTGATTGTTATTAAAATTATAAACTAAATGCCCTTTATATATGCATACAATGCACATGTCCAATTCGACTAACTACAATAGCTATAACCCAAAACTACATTTTTGACATACTGTAATAGTTGTTGTATTCGACTATGTCGAATATAACTGACAACCTATCAACACTAACTATTCGACATACACCTATGCACTTCGATATAACAAAAAATGTACTATCTAATAATATTTACCTACGTTTTTTAATCTATAGTTAAAATTTTCATATATAAGAGATGTTAGTGCATATTTAAAATTAGATGAGATGTTGGTGGCGTTTTAACAAATCTCGAAGGAGGTGAGTTAATTATTCCTTCAATTTAAAAATATCTTTTATAAAAATTAAAACCATTCAATCTTATTGGACGATCAAAATACACGTGATTGTATAGTGCACCTAATTAGTAGATAGACTAACATCTCAATCTAAATAGGTTTAAACATATTTTGAGTCTTCTATTTTTTTATAAATAATATTTTGATCTCCATTTTAAAATTGATTTTTAAAGAATTCTCAATCATCTTCGAATATTTAATCTCTTTCTTTTTAAAAACAAGTGTAAAGTATAAACAAACAAAAACTATATTCTCTCAATTTTTATCATACGATGCTTCGATCAAAATATTTGTAATAAATTATAAATTGTTTTATAATATCAATAAATCATTAATAATATTTTTTGATTATATATTTTAATTGTTTTAATTTATATTTTTTTATATTATTAATATATATTATTAATAAATAATAATCTCGTAAAACTTTTTTATAACTTTTTTTAATAAGATAATTATTATATTTTTATTACCCATAAAATAATCTAAACAATCTATAATAAAAAAATGAAAGAAGTAGTAGTGAAATTAGTTATCAATATTTTCCTCTTTCTTCATAAAAGAACAAACCCATGGGATCATTCATCCCAATCATCCTATCTATCCAGGCTTCCATAACATTTTTTTTTTTGACAAAAAGCACCTTGCACCTTCCAAATCTTTTTAAATAAAAAAAAAGTTTAAAAAAAAAGTTAAATATATTTTTTATTTTTATAAGTTATCAAATTTTATTTTTGATATTTATAAAAAAAATTATCATGTTTTAGTATTTATAAAATTATTATACATATGGTTTTTGTCTTTTATGTTAAATCGATGTTTATTATTTTATAGAAATATTTAAAATATAATAAAAGTTTTCTAAAAAAAAACTTAAAATTTAATTTTTAAATCGAAATTTTATTGTTTTTATCAATATTTTTTGAAATTTGAAAAATTCATATTTAATTATTTTCATTTTTAAAAATTCTAAAATTTAATAAATAAATATTTTATAATATTTTGATACATGAAAAAATTATTCAAAAATTTAAAATTAATTAAATAATTTTCAAAATTTAATAAATAAAAATTAAAACTACATGAATAAAATTTTTGTAATAGAGAGTAAAAATAATTTTTTATATTTATAGAAATGAAAGACAAATTTAAACCAAACAAATAAATAATACTACAATAAAGTGATTGTACTTTGATCGAGAAAAAAAGTGCTAGTGAAGTGAAACGGCATATTAAAGTGTATTTTGCGCATCATCTTACTTTGTCTGTTTGTTGTTGCCAGCTACACATTTTTTGGATGCAAAGGTGAAACCTTTATCATCACTTCACACACCCATTTTCCTTTTCTTGTGTTGTGTTCTTTCTATTCACATTTCCCTTCATTTTCTTCATCTGGGTGTGAGAGAAAGTAAGAGAAAGAGATTCTCTCATCGCATTGCAAAAACAACCCAAGATGGAAAAAGCTCTCACTAAAGTAACAAGCTTGAAGATTGGACTTGGAGATTCATGGTTTACTAAGAAAGCCAAAGAAGAGTTCTCTAACATCTCTCAAGACATCAATGTTAGTAACTTTCTATGCTTTCTGTTTTTGTCTTTGTCTTACATTTGGAATTTTAGAGATCTAAATGAATGGGTTTTTCTTTGTGTGAGACAACCTAGGATTGTGTTTGTTGGTTGTTTTTTCTGATGAAAATGTATCCTTCTGCCCAAGGATTTGAATAGAAGATTTGATTGTATGTTTGGTTTCACTTTTCGAGGAATCAAATTGAATCTTGATCTATAAAATTGATTTTGACATTTTAGATGTTATGAGTAAAGCTGATTTGTAGAATTGATTCTAATTTCAGCTAGATGTGTAGAATTGATTCTAATTTCAGCTAGATGTGTAGAATTGATTCTAATTTCAGCTTGATGTGTAGAATTGATTCTGGAAATTGCCTCAAATTCATTTCACTTGTGTCCAAGTATAATAACCATATTCATTTGAACTGTTTTTTTGTTTTTGCTGATATAAGGTTATTTCTTTTGCAGACTTTCTCTAATACAGTTGAAGAGAAGGCCAAATGGGTTTTTAACAAACTCAAAGGTATGGATGCATTTTGACCTTGCATTCATCCAAGAATTTACTTCAACCAATTGATTAAGTCAATTTAAATGTAATAATCTAGTCATTTAATCATGCTAACTATGAAGCACAGCCTCTAGGAGTAGGTTTGTCGCATCCACACACGTCCATGACCGACACTTGTAAGACACCTGTACAACAGTGTCAGAAAAATCAAACAAATGTCAGAAAAAATAAATAGGTCTCCCCTGGAAAAAATGATTGTTTCTTTGATTCGAAACTCTTTGAATCGATGTCCAACACTCGTATAACACTCATGCAACATGTGCCGGACAATTCAGACAAGAGTTTCATAAAAAAAAGTTTTTTTCTTTGGTTCAACATTTCTTATACAACTCACATATGCATCTAAAAGGTTAAAAATGTATCTATAAAGAATTAAAAACATTCATTTTGTTTAGAATATTTTTAACTCTTTAAATAATAGATAGATAAATGAAACTCAAATACTATCATATATGTAACGGTGTCAGTGTTCTATATTTTTACATTATTGGTGTTGGAATGTTTGTGTCCGTGCCGTGTCTCAATTCCGTGTCGTGTCTCGGTCTCTGTGTTGAAGTCTGGGATTCATAGCATCCTTAACTATGAGAAAAATGCATCTATTACTTTGAAGTCTGAATCAATCAGTTAGGTAAATTGTGATCTAGTAATCATGTTCATTGCATTTTTGCCAACTGGCCATTATAAGTTTTTCATGTGTCACCTACCTCCTTCCCACTTGGCCCTTTCACGTGTAGTATATGTATAGGGTAGATTCTGTTAACAACTTGTAATATTGTTGGCACATTTATATTCTCAGTGTTTTCCAACAGGTAAGCCACAGAAAAGCTTACCAGATCTTCTCCGCGACTTCAACTTACCGCCAGGGCTATTTCCTCAAAACACAATCTGTTATGAATTTGACGAGATCAAGGGTAAGCTGATTGTCTACTTGCCATCTGCATGTGAGGTAAGCTTCAAGGATTCCTCTGTACTGCGATATGCAACCCGAGTCAAAGCTGTTCTTACAAGGGGAAAGCTTTCAGCAATAGAAGGAATGAAAACCAAAGTTCTTGTATGGGTTAAGGTGACTAGTGTGACAGTTGAAGGTTACAAATCTGATAAGATTTGGGTTACTGCTGGTGTAAAGAAGTCAAGGCCAAAGGATGCTTTTGATACACCTCGCGATGCTGTTAGAGTATTGGAATTCTGAGTTCATGATATCGGTTATCCTTGTTGTTTTATTAGTATGGAATAGTTAGAGTCTAAATTATTTGAAATCGGGGTTAGGATCATTTTCTCTACATATATATATTGGATGTATTGTTGTTCTGGTCATTCATTGTCATATTGAATGGAAATTAAATTGGTAAGCTCACATGGGAGCTCTAATTGCGCAATAGAATTTGAAATTGTGCATACTAAGAGCATTTGCTTTTTAACAGCATTTTTCATTTTCTTTTTAACTTTCAATTGCCAATTTAGGAGATGTAGTGAATAACTGTTATAGATATAGAATGCAGCAAGAAAAATGGATTTTCAGAAACCAAAAAGAACATTGTTCCATTTTCAAAAACTTTTGAGAACATTGTGGTAAAAACACTAAAGGAAATATTTGATTACTATTCAGGAAAATCGATGCAGAAAACTTTAATTAATTCATTACTTAGTTAAAATCAAGATTATACAGAAAATATATTAGTAAATGGGTTCGAAGTTTCTTGTGAATTTGGAGACACTACTTTTGGAAGAGTAATGTGCAAGTAACTGTAGTTGTGGAGCTGTAAGCATTTATCATATGAATCTGCTCATACATGGAAATTACTAGAAGGTTGAAATGAAGAAATATAGATAGGAAAAAAGGGAAAACTCTAACCTTCATTATGTTTTATAATAATAATAACAAAACCTTGTTTTAGCATCAGACTAGTGTGTTTGAAATGTATTAGAAAGATGTAGAAGAGAGAAATTGAGAGAAAACTGTTCAATGTATTAATGTTTTTAATGCATTAAAGCGATGCCTATTTATACCAGAGTTAGTTAGATGTAAAGTTTAACTAACTCTCTCTATTTGATTACAGCTGATAACAACTAGTTTGTCTGATACAACTCAAACACTCCCCCTTACAAGTGGAGGGTGTCTTGACCAAACTGAATTTGTCAAATATCCGAAGCTTCTCACAAAGAATGTAGAATCTAGCAGCCGAAAGTGGTTCAGTTAAGGCATTTGTCCACTGATCTTTAGAAGGAACATGTACAACTATGAGGTTTTTGCTTAGTACTTTTTCTCTCACAAAGATGTTCAGCTCCATAAATTTTGTACAATTGTGTAGTGTGGGGGGTTGTGTGTTAGGGAAATACTACTTAGATTATCAGAGTCTGAGGTGTGTTGTATTTGCAATTTAGTTCTAGCAGATGAGATTGAAGTCAAAGTGTATATAAAGATAGATTTGTCAAGCTTTTGTACTCAGTTTCTACACTAGAGTGAGCTACTAGTGTTTGTTTCTTGTACCACCATAAAATAATATTAGAGCACAAGAAAATGCATGCCCCTAATGTAGATCTCCTGTCATCAGGGTTTGATGCTCATTCAAGGGTTTGATGCTCATTCAGTATCACAAAACCCAATTAAGGATAGAGGGTTATGAATAGGAACAATTTGCAATAGTGAACCATGATGAAAGGTGCCTCTCAAGTATCTAAGTTTTTTTTTTTTTGCCATTCTTCCAATGTTCCTATGAGGGATTGGACAAAAACTGACATAGATTGTTTATTGAGAATGATATTTTTAGCCTTGTTAACGTTGCATAGTATAATGCTCCAACAATTGACCTAAATAACGAAGGTTCCTCAACAGGAATACATTTCACTTTAGATCATTTTAAGCTATGTACCATAAGTATATGCATTTCTTTAGCAGAGTCTATATTTGTTGAAAATCCATCAAAACCTATGATAAATTTCTATCAATCTTGATGAAAAAATTGATATCACCACACAATGACAATGAATTATATGAAAGAATAAAAGAAAGAAGACAATGATTTTTCTGGAGAGTTTCTCTCCGCTCACAAACTGTGGAAAACTTTGTTATTCATCTGCAACTGCAAATTCTGTAAATACAACTTAATTGAATTAATTACAAAAAGAGGGGTTACTCCCTCTATTTATAATTTTAGTTTAACTTGTTTCCTAAGGCAAAACCCAAAACTATAAAAGCCCCAAAATTCCTATTTTGGAACTAAATCAAATCTATCTATTTTAGATCTAAATCTAAAACAAATATGTGTGTAACAAACTGTTTCCACACTTCTAAATCAAATCAAATCTTTTCGACATTCCCTTGTCCCTGTCTAGCAAACTGCTTCGACACAAGGAATTGCTTTCAACACACCATCTAATTCATTGTGTCTAAGCTATTTACATTCATCATAACTCTTAGTCTTCAAAATACTTCAACTTACACTGTCTTTGTCATGATGTCTGCAATCTGATTCTCAGTTCTACAGTATTCCAAGTTCATCTTCCCTTCTACTATCTACTCTCGAAGATATTGGAACCTCATTTCGATGTGTTTGCTTCGACCGTGAGCTATCGGGTTCTTCGCCAGATTGATAGCTGACATGTTGTCGATCTTCATGGTAATTACTCCATGATCTTTCCATGTTATCTCTTCAACCAAGTTAGCCATCCAAGTTGCTTACATGCACAAAGAGAAGCAATTATGTATTCTGCTTCGCATGATGATAATGCCACTACTGGTTCTTTCTCGAACTCCAAGCAACTGGTGCACCACCTATCATAAACACATATCATACTGTGGATTTTTGATCCTCAACATCACTACACTAACTTGAATCAGTGTATCCCACTAACTTGCATTATTTTCCTTTATCACCTGCTAGAAATAGAATGCCATAGTCGAGAGTTCCTTTCAGATACCTCAATATCCTCTTTGCCGCTGCTAGGTGTGATACCTTTGCCTTCTGCGTGAATCTACTTACCATACCTACATTGTATGCTAAGTCAGAACTTGTATGACAAAGGTATCTTAATGACCCAATAAGTCTTCTGTATTAGATTGGGTCGACATCATCTTTATCTGCATCTTTTGACAGTTGTAGTCTTGGTTCTGTAGGTGTCAAAGTCGAATTGCATTCTTCCATCTCTAATCTCTTGAGAATTTCACTTGCATATCTTCTTTGATGCATCATCAAACCTTTACTACTCTTGTAAAGTTCGATGTCAAGGAAGTATGAAATGTCACCCAGATCAGACATTTCGAATTCCTTGCTGAGATCACCTTTGAAGTCTTCGATCTCATTCTTGCAGCTACCTATTATTAATAAGTCATCGACATAGAGACATAGTATAAGCAATTCACTATTACTTCTTCTTATATATACTCCATGTTCAGTTGTGCACTTCACAAATTCCTGCTCCCTTAGGAAACTGCCAATCTTCTTGTTCCAGGCTCTTGGAGCTTTATTTCAATCCATACAGGGCTTTATGCAGCCTGTACACCTTTTTCTCTTCATCATGTTTCACAAACCCAACTGGTTGTTTAACATAAACTTCTTCGTCTAAGGGTCCATTTAAGAATTCACACTTCACGTCCATCTGACATATGTGCCACCTGTTTATTTTTTCAAGACCAATAACCAATCTGATTGTTTCGATTCTAACAACAGATGCAAAAACTTTATTGAAGTCTATTCCTTTTTTCTGGAGAAATCCTTTCGCCGTGATCCTTGCTTTATGTCGAGTTACTTCCCCTTTGGGATTCATCTTCACTTTGTATACCCACTTGACATCAATTGCCTTCTTGCCTTGAGGCAACTCGACAAGTGACCAAGTGTTGTTATCTTCGATAATCTTCACTTCTTCGTTTATTGCTTTCACCCACTTCAAATCCTCCAATGCTTCATCTGCTTTGATAGGTTCGACATCTGCATAGAAAGAATAATATATCAACTCATCTTCATTATATATCACATCATCTGATGTAATCACACAATCTTGCAACCTTGCAGACATGTATCTTGTTCTCTGAGGTCTGCTTGGTCCTGATTGATTTATAAATGTTGGTTCCTCTTGTCGAAATTCCTTTTCGACTTCAATTGTTGGTTCTTCGAATAAGATTCTCACTGAACCTTTACTGATGTTTTCAGTCCAATCTCATTCTTTAAGCTCATCTATGATCATATCCATGGTGATCATAATATGCTTGTTCACTGGGTCGAACAACTTGTAACCTCTCGTCGAATGATATCCTACTAGAATCATTTGACTCAACTTGTCATCAAGTTTTCTTCTCAACTGATCTGGAACATGTCTATGTGCAATAGTACCTTCAGATGACTCAAGCTACGCTTTGTACCAGACCAACATTCTTCTGGAGTAATTCCTTTTAGCTTCTTTGTCAGACATTTGTTCAAAATACATGTTGCAGTAGACACAACTTCACCCCAAAACTCTTCAGGTAAATTCTTACCTTTAATACTTCTCATCATATTCATGATGGTATGATTTTTCTTTTCTACAGTTCCATTCTGTTGTGGAGTATAAGGTGACACCACCTCATGCACAATTCCTTCTTTTTCACACAACTTGTCGAAGTCTTTCGACACATACTCTCCACCACCATCAGTTCTCAAAACTTTGAGCTTTCGACCACATTGTCTTTCGACCATAGACTTAAACTTGACAAATACCTCGATCACTTCACTTTTCTTTTTGATCAGGTAAGTCCATAGTTTTTGACTAAAATCATCTATGAATGTAATAAAGTATTTGTTACCTCCCATCGAATCCACCTGGATTGGTCCACATACATCAGAGTATATGACTTCAAGAATAGCCTTCGACCTGCTTCTGCATCTTTGCTAAAGTTATTCTTGTGCTGCTTCGCCTGCACATATTCCTCACACACTTCGTTTGGAATGTCAATTTCTGAAAATTCTGAAACCATATTTCTTCTCTTCAAATCTCTGATGTCTCTGAAGTTGAGATGACCTAATCGTTAGTGTCATATACATTTGTCTCTGCTAGCTGCAGTTGAAAGACACTTGTGCTCCATCATGTTAAGTTCAATCTTGAAAGTCCTATTCTGAGACATGGGAACCTTCAAGATTAAGCTTCCATTTGCATCAACGACTCTCATCATCTTGTCTTCGACCAACACTTTGTAATTCTTTTCGACCAACTGTCATATGCTGAGAAAGTTGCTCTTCATGTCTGGTATGTACAACATATTGGAAATTACTGACCTTTTGCCATCTTTCCTCATAATCAAAACATCTCAAATACCTTCAGCTTCTAGAGTATTGTCATTTGAAAATTTTACTATATTCTTAATTGAGGGTTTTAGGTTGACAAACCAATCTTTCCTTCCAGACATATGTGATGAGCATCCTGAATCCAAGTACCACTGATCCTTGAGTTTATCTTTATCTCTTGTTGTAACTATCAACAACATCTCTTATTCTTCATGTTTTGTAAACTTTGCACCACTTTCTTAATTCTTTCGCTTTTCAGAATAATCACTCAAATAGTGATCATACTTCTGATAATTGTAACACTGGATGTGACTCTTGTTAGGTTTTCGACCACCACCTCTTCCTCTATTCGTAACACCACCTCTTTGGTAGCCTTTGCACGGTCTTCTCTGATTTGACATGTTTTCTTCGTGCTGATTTCCTCTACCATTCGAATAGTTGTAGCCACCTTTACCTTTGTTTTCGAACCACTTTCCTTTTCTTTGCTTGTCTCTTGTTGATTGAGCCTACAAAGCTACATCACTCTTTGACTTGCCTGTAGCTCTTTCAGCCATTCTTTGTTCGTGAGATTCAAGCGTCCCTTGAAACTCTTCCTTTTACAAATATGACATGTCCTTTGACTCTTCTATGGCAACTACCACATGGTCGAACTTCGGAGTCAAAGATCTCAAGATCTTCGTAACAACAACTCTTGTTGTTAACGTCTCTCCACAAGTCTTGATTTGATTCACTAGTTTCGTAACCCTGGTGAAGAAATTAGATATGCTTTCGCTATCTTCCATCTGAAGCAATTCATACGTTCTTTTGTGAGTTTGTAACCTCGCCTCTTTCACCTTCTCAGCTCCTCCAAATGATTTCTTCAAAATTTTCAGATTTCTTTTGGATATTCAACATCACTAACCTTTTCGAAATTGTCTGAGCTGACACATTGGTGAATTATAAAGAGAGCTTTATAACTCTTCTTCTTCTTCTTCTTCAAATCTTTGTATTTTTCTTATTCTTCTTCTGAAGCGTCTTCATCAAGCGGTTTTAATCCATGTCTCACAAGATCCCAAAGACCTTGAGCACAAAATATAACCTTCATCTGTTTGCACCAATTCTCATAGTTATCACCTTTCAGAATTGAGAGATTTGCTGGAAAATTTTGTTAGCATAATTCATCGCCATCGTGATCTTCTTCTTCCTCGATCGTTCTTGATTGTTCTTCCCTTGAATCACTCAACCGGAGCTCTTGATACCAGATGTTGGAAATCCACCAATACCTATGATGAATTTCTATCAATCTTGATGAACAAGATTGATATCACCACACAATGATAATGAATTATATGAAAGAATAAAAGAAAGAAAGAAGATAATGATTTTTCTGCAGAGTTTTTCTCTGTCTACAAACTGTGGAAAACTTTGTTATTCACTTGCAACTGCAAATTCTGTGAATACAACTTAATTGACTTAATTACAAAAATAGAGTTACCCCCTCTATTTATAATTTTAGGTTAGCTTGCTTCCTAAGACAAAGCCCAAAATTATAAAAGCCCAAAATCCTTATTTTAGAACTAAATCAAATCTATCTATTTTATATCTAAATCAAATATATCTAAATCTAAAACAAATCTTTGTGTAACAAATTATTTTCACATTTCTAAATCAAATCAAATCTTTTCGACATTCTCTTGTCTCTGTCGAGCAAACTGTTTCAACACAAAAAATTACTTTCAACAATATTGACTCTTGAAATAAGATATCTAATATATTTGTATTGAGAGAACAGTAGAAAGTAAAAACTCATGAGAGAGATGTGAGACCTCAGTGCCTAGAAAAATAATCAAGTGTTCCATGTTGTTTCAAGAAAAATTCTGGACTGAGTTTAGAGGTAAGTTGTTGAATATGTGATAGAGAGCTCCATGTCATGATTATATCATTAACATACACTAAAATCATGACATGAAGAGAACAATATTTGAGCATAAAAAGGCTAGGATCACATTTACTAGTTGTATAACCATTTTGTATTAGAGCATATATGAGTTTTTCATACCAAGCCATAGATCCTTGTTTGAGACCATACTAAAGTTTTTTCACTGGACTCAAAACCAATAAGTTGTTGCATATAAACTTCATCCTCCAAGATCAACAACAACAACAGTTAGTTGAATGGAATGGTTGTTTTTTACTACAATAGTTAGTACAGTACAACAGTTAGTTGAATGGGATGGTTATTTTTTACTACAATAGTTAGTACAATACGCATAATGACAGGTTTAGTTACTAGTGAAAAGGTTTCAATAAAGTCAGCACCTTCCCTTTGATGGAAACCCTTGGCTAACAGAGCCATGGTTTTCTTTGACCTGAAACATACATATGCATTCACCAGGGTCACGATGAGCAAGAGGGTACAAGTACAACCAGTGTCCAAGTGTTGTTTTTAAGCAAAGCATCATACTTCTGTTTCATAGTATTTACCCATCAGGGACACTTCAGGGCTTGCTTGACAGTAGTGTGTTCAAAATATGTTAGGAGTGTGTAGTAAGACAATATAAGACTTGGCTCTATTGGTTATAGAATGAGTGTTTTCATAAGGTGTCTATGCTTTCATTCAACAAGTGCGTTTTGGTGAGTATATATGGGGCAAGTGAACCTATGCAATATACCTAGGTTAGTGAGATATTTGGTGAATGGACGAAACTCACCACCACCACCACCACCATCTTTTTGGACAATTTTGATCTTGCAATTCAACTATGGAATTGAACTAAACAAAATTTGCTAATGTCTCAGATTTAAGCTTTAAGGGATACACCTAAACAAATCTAGAATATGCATCGACACATGTTAGACAATTATTGAAACCACTAGATGATTTAACTAAATCTAGGCCCCACAAGTCACACATAACTAGTTCAAAATATTTTTGATAAACTGTTGTAGAGCTAAGAGCAGAGAGACAATGACTTTTGCCTTGACCACAAGTTATACAGAGTCCAACATTAACTTTAGCAAGGACAAGAATACTACAAAACTTAAGAGCTTCTTTAAGGGCATCAAGATAAAGGTGACCTGAACGAGCATGCCACTAATGATAAGTATTGTGTGTAATAGGTACAAAATTTGAACAAAAATAATTATCTATTTTTCATATTTGGAAATATTTACAACAAGATTGGAATTGAAACTAGATAAACTTGTAGAAGTACTAAGAATATTCAAACAAACACAATTACAGAAAATCGATTTATTTAAAGGTAGAGATAATGATGAAACAAACTTATAAAGGCTATCAACACCCGCAGTTCCTTGCAATAAGACTTCGGAAGAAGCTTGTGACTTAACAGGACAAAAAGTAGGGTGAAATTCAAAGAACACGTGATTATCTTGAGCAATTTTGAGACATTAATGAGGTTCTTGGTTGTAGAAGGAACTAAAAGAAGATTTTTAAGGGTCATGGAAGTTTTTGGGATTTTATTAGGAAAGAAACACATAGAAAATGACATGCTTTAGTGTTAAGTAAGATATGAAAATCACGACGAATCTCCTCCAAGACTTGCCATGGATATGTCTGATCAACTACGTTGGCTAGAAGGTTTTCAGACATGGTGGAGAGAAGCCATGTGCATATCAACACATTTTGTTGTTCCCATTGTGCACTGGAAAATTCACATTACCAACAATCAGATCTTCTTCAGTAAGATATTGTTTAAGAATTATCGGTTTCGTGATGAATTTTTGGAGTTGTAACCACAAACCACTCAAGTAATTTATTGTTTCCATTGCTTGAAATTCTGATCATTTAAATTCAAGATAAATAAATTTGAGATTTTGGTTTGGGAGGAAGAAAATGAATCCTATGTTGTATGGAGAAATAGATTTGCCATGGATCAAGAAGCTCTAGATTCCATGTTAGAAAGATTTAAAAGATAGAAATTGAGAGAAAACTGTTCAATATATTAATGTTTTTAATGCATTACAACTGACAACAGTTAAATTAACTAATTCTTAACAAACTGCAACTGGCAAAAACTAGCTTATCTAGTACAACTCTAACAAAATCACATTGAATTTTACTAAATCATAACATGGATCTCGTATAAGAGATAAAATGTTTTCCCTAAAATCACAGTGGCACACCGTATTTTGCCAACCTTTTAGACCAACAATCACTCTCTATAGGAAGCATAAATTTCATATGTATAGTTGAAATTATTTGAGGATGATGGGGGTTACGACTTGTACAACTATTCTAAGAAACTATTGTGAATTTCATACAATTCAATGAATATGTGAATTTTATTAATCATAAATACAAAGGGCAAAACTATGATTAGCTCAAAAATGGGCAGAACTACTGTTACAATAACTTAATCTAGCTTCCACCTTTCTGCTACTTTACTACGAAACTGCATTTGAATCTTTTAGAATCTCGTATATGGATATAACATTTTCAATTGTCAATAGACCGATAATACACCATTCCAAGAAATCTGACTTCCTGTTCTGGAGAACTTCTTGTAAAAAATGAATATTATGCTGCAAGTAACCAAATCAACATAATAAGCCTTAGTTAGATAGCATAATCTATAGTAAAATGATTAAATATAAATGGTAGTTTGATGATATTTCTCTTCAAGTTTTTCTCCTTTCCCTGTAATAATTCTAGCATATTACATACCTCAACAAATTTCAATTTGTAATCTAGGTTTCCAAAGCGTTGTGCTACTTCGTACTCCTCCCTAAGATACTCGTATATTTGAGCATACTTTGCATCCCTCCAAGCAATTTCTGATCTGATTAATCCATGATAAAAAAGATGAATGAAGAGGCTCAAAACAAGTTCAATGAATTGAATTTTTACTATTATTGTCTATTAAGATGAAATGAGATTATACAATTGTTTCTGAATATTTTGGGATATGTAAGCTTAAATCAAGTGCATATTTTTCTTAGTACTAAAACAATGATGATAATACCTTTCGAAGAGACCAACTTTAAGAATCACATCAGCCAAATTTGAGTTAGCCTTCCCAACAAGCTGAAGTAGTTTCTTCTTATCCATAGTGAAAGTTCCGGTTTTTTCCATTCCACGATTTATGCCTGCAAACTCTTCAACTAAACCATCAACCTGGTAATTAGTGAAAACCAATGTCAATTTTTCAATGAATGTTTTTCATTGGGATTAAAAATAGCCAAAAAAGTAATGGAAAATAATATGGATTGCCTGCAGTCAATAATCCATGCATTCAAGCGGTTAGCATATTAACGGCTTCCGGATCGACAGTCCAAATTTCGAGCTTGGTATTTTAGTTTTAAAAAAAAATTAATTCGATCTCGATCCAACAGTTACCGATGTCTGACTGCACACAATCCAAATCCAAGTAATAAGGCATTTGGCACATTCCAACCTGTGAGACAAAATAATCCAGAGCTATGCTTTGTCCCAGCACACTTCCAATTAAACGAATGCCATCAGTGTCCAAAGATTTCAGAACTATGTAGTCTGGACCACCTTGCATATCCTCGACTAATTGTGGTTTCTCCCTTATTGCATAATCTAATCATAAAGCACGAGTTAAAAGATGCAGAGAGAGTCAGAAGAACCAACATGATTCATTAGTTTCTCAAGAAAAATTACCATCTTTCACCATCTCTGAAAGTAAACCAGATGCATGCCTCTTAACTAGTTGCAGATAAAGGTCCACTTCATGATCGTCAATATTAAACAAAACAGCAGATCCATACTGGTAGACAACCATATAACGACAGCTGCTTGCTTTCACATGAAATCCATGTCCCTAAACCAAATGCCTCAAGTTGTTCAGATATGAGTAATCTATTTAAATGGTTTTTTATATTATGATACACAGAATCATGTTCTAATCAAGTATTATTGTCCTTCTAGAAAATAGCGACATAAGAATGTATTCATTTACTTATCACCAATCTATAATAAAACATATTTTGATTCAGGAAGCAGCTTAGCACTTATACTTCCACTTTAAAAAAGGGAAAGAAATTAGCACAATAAAATAATAAATTCCCTCCTTCTCTTAGCTTCAAATGCACATACTAGTTCAGTGCAGCCCAGTGTTATTAGTATAGAATTGTCTGTATAGAATTGCAGAACACCAAAAACCAGCTATGTGAAACAGCATATGGTGTTGCAGGAAAATAGTGGAAGCCGCATAGCGGTTGAAATAAGTTAATTCTATATTTTTAAAATGGCAGGCTGTAACAAATAAAAAAGGGAATGGAGGCAAAGCATAATTTACATATTGAAAGGTTTAGGCCTTAAGGTGAATACAAGAACCGTACTAATTAACTGACTTTTCAGCTTTTCTATTTTCAAAAGCCTTAAAATTCTCCTTTTTCTGCTATTGCTGCTACATCTGCAGGCAGAAACTAGAATAGCGGCTGCAACAACACTAATAGCGAAACTAGGATAGCACACAATTCATCAAAAAACCGCTACACTATAGCTCAGCTATCTCCGCAATTAGACAACACTCATTCTGCCACTACCAGTGACAGGAAAAGCTGCCTAATAATCTCAATCCAGTGACAGGAAGTGCACATTCATCCCTAGAGAAGCATCAACAACATAAGAGGTGTTGTATTCTAAACAACCAACATAGCTGTAGAGATTTCTAAGAACTACTATGAAGGTTGTGAGTTGTGACTTCTTATAAAAACACAAAATGGTCTATAGAGAAAACAAAATCAAACACAATCTTACATTAGCATCCAAGTTAAAGTTGCAGAAGCGGAGAGCAACATAGTTTAACGCTGAGCGGGAAGACGGAGGTACGATGTTTCTTGGATTGTCAGCCTGAATGCCTTTCAAATTTATACTGCCAAAATCACGAATCTGAGACAGCCAAATCATAGAGAAACAGAACAGGACAACAAAAACACATGTGAGGGGCAAGGGGTTCAATTCAGTTCAAACCCTAACAACTTGAGAAATTAACATAATGCATCAGCATAAAAGGAACAAAAAAGACCAAAAAAGACAAGAAAACTTCAAAGTTTCAAATCTACTGTCATAAATGCATATTTTTACTTTGTATTAACTGTATCGTATCCAAGTCTCTAGCATTTGGTTATGCCAGCTGTAATAGCTTGTTAAGACCAGTGAAGAATATTCAGATTATCTCAAAACTCTAAACTTTCTCTCTTTACTCATCTCTACGGTTACCAATTCTATTAGACTCTTCAAAATCCAACAACAAACATCAACATACAAGTCACATAAACAATTAAAAACCATAAGATAGGGCAAAATTGACATTAACATAACAGTAAATAAACAGTAACAGAATCAAAAGGACAGAAACTAACAAGAGCATAAAAACAAAGGACTGATTGAATAAATTAGAGAGAAGAAATGAAAACCTGGTGGAAAGGAAGAAGGCCTTGATTGGAATCTTAACCGAGGGATCATCATCCGGGGCACCGAATCCACGAGTATGATCGAAATCAATCGGATCCGGGTAAGGGATTGCAGCGACAGTGAGGAAGCGGTTGATGAAAAAGGGAAAGTGAGGTTTTATGGATGGTGTTAATATGCGGCGGTGGTTGTTGTTATTGAAAAGGGAAGAGAGGGTTTTCATCCATCTTCCACCCATTCGCTGAAAGGGAAGCGGAAGTCTCTTATTTGTTGTTCTTCTGATATTGCTGTGTTTTGTTGTCTTCTCGTGTTTCTCAACCCATTCTGTGTTTATGTCTCTCACTCTCTTCCTCTCCACGTTTTATTCCTATTAGTAAAAAACTACGCCTTTTTTTAATTATAAATATATTAGTATGAATAATAGTTTTTTTTTTATTTTATAAAAATATTTTTTTCAATAATATATATTTTTATTTATAAATATATTTATAATAATATAACTTTTAACGTTCATAAAAATATTTGCATTAAATTATTGAAAATGCATATTTCATTTGTCTACTTCATTTATACAATATAGATCTCACGCAAAAAAATAATAAGATAAATAATTATCAAATAAAATTTTAATTGTGAAAATTTAATATTGTTTGAATAATTTGAGTCAAAATTTATTTTAGAATTGTAATTATCAAATAAGATTTTAATACGTATTTTCATAAATTATAGTGATATTATAAATTATAATTACTTAAAGACAATTTTACTAATTATAGAGTCATGCTTAAGCAAGTATAGGTTTTGATGATTACAAACATCATGATTAAGGTAAAAGACATTATCAAAAAGAAGAAGAAAAAATATCTATTCAAAATGGACTTTTGACTTGTATGCTAAGTTACTCCTAAAGAATGTTAAATTGTAATTCAGTGTGTCGAATTATGTGTCGAAAAGATTTGATTTGTTTTATATTTAAATAGATTTGATTTAAGTCTAGAATAAATTAGATTTGATTTAGTAACAAAGAGATGTTTTGGGCTTTGGGCTTAGGGTGTAAGCTCAGTTATAAATAGAGGAAGTAACCCTTATTTTTGTAAGTAAGTCAATCAAGTCATTCACAGTATTTTGCAGTTGCAAAGTGAATAATAAAGTTTTCACAGTTTGTGAGCAGAGAGAAACTCTGCATAAATTATTTGTCTTGTCTTCTTTTCTTTGTTTGTCTCATAATTAAATTGTCATTATGGTAGAAATTCATCATAGACTTTGGTGAGTTTCCAACATCTGGTATCAAGAGTTTTGTTTCGATTCAAGGCAAGTATCAATCAAGAACGATTGAAGAATTCACATGACAAGTTATGGGAATACAAACTATCCAGCAACACTACCAATTCTGAAAATTGACAACTATGAGAATTGGTGCAAATAGATGAAAGTCTTATTTAGGTGTCAAGGTCTTTGGGACCTTGTAAAAGATGGAGTTGAAGCGCTTGGAGAAAATGCTTCAGAAGAAGAAAAGAAGAAATACATAGAATCTGAGAAGCTGAGTTATAAAGCATTATTTATAATTCATCAATGTGTCAGCCCAAACAATTTCGAAAAGGTTAATGATTCAGAATCTGCAAAAGAAGCTTGGGAAATCCTTGAGAAGTCTTTTGGAGGCGCTGAGAAAGTGAAAGAAGTGAGGTTACAAACTCACAAAAGGACCTATGAACTGCTTCAGATGGAAGACAGTGAAAGCATATCAGATTTCTTCACTAGAGTTACACAACTAGTAAATCAAATCAAGATATGTGGAGAAGCGTTAACAACAAGAGTTGTTGTGTCGAAGATCTTGAGATCTTTAGCTCCTAAGTTCGACCACATAGTGGTGGCGATAGAAGAGGGGAAAGACTTGTCGAAATTGACAAAGGAAGAGCTTCAAGGGACGCTTGAATCTCATGAACAAAGAATGAACAAAAGAGCTGCAGGAAAATCAAAGAGTGATGTGGCCTTGCAGATACATTCAACAAAAGAGACCAAAGGCAAAGAAAAGTGTTTCGACAGAGGTAGAGGTGGCTACAACAAATCGAATGGTAGAGGAAACCAGATTGAAGGAAACGTGTCAAATCAAATAAGACCATACCAAGGCAACCAAAGAGGTGGTGTTGCAAATAGAGGAAGAGGTGGTGGTCGAAAACCTGATAAGAGTCACATTCAATGTTACAATTGTCAGAAGTATGGTCACTATTCGAGTGATTGTCCAGAAAAATGAAAGAATCAAGAAAGTGATGCAAAGCTTGCAAAACATGAAGAAGAAGAAGAAGATATGATGTTGATGGTCACAACAAGAGATGAAGATAGATTCAAGGACCAATGGTACTTGGATTCAGGATGTTCATCACATATGTCTGGAAGGAAAGCCTGGTTCGTCAATATAAAACCCTCAATGAAAAATACGGTAAAATTTGCAAATGACAATACCCTAGCAGCTGAAGGTATTGGTGATGTTATGATTATGAGGAAAGATGGCAAAAGGTCAGTAATCTCCAATGTATTGTACATACCAGGCATGAAGACCAATTTGCTCAGTATAGGGCAGTTGGTCGAAAAGAATTATAAAGTGTCAATCAAAGATAAGATGATGAGAGTCATTGATGCAAATGGGAGATTAATCTTGAAGGCTTCTATGTCTCAGAATCGAACCTTCAAGATTGAACTAAATGTGATGGAGCACAAGTGCCTTTCGACTGCAGCTAGCAGAGATGAATGGATATGGCATTATAGACTAGGCCATCTCAACTTCAGAGACATCAGAGATTTGAAAAGAAGAATATGGTTTCAGGATAGCCAGAAATTGACATTCCAAATGAGGTATGTGAGGAATGTGTGCAGGCGAAACAACATAAGAATAGCTTCAGCAAGGATGTAGGAAGTAGATCGAAGGCTAGTCTTGAAGTCATATACTCTGATGTATGTGGACTAATTCAGGTGGATTCGATGGAAGGTAACAAATACTTTGTTACATTCATAGATGATTTAAGTCGAAAGCTATGAACTTACCTGATCAAGAAGAAAAGTGAAGTGATTGAAGTATTTACCAAGTTTAAGTCTATGGTCGAAAGACAAAGTGGTCGAAAGCTCAAAGTTTTGAGAACTGATGGTGGTGGAGAATATGATAGATTATGTGAAAAGGAAGGGATTATGCATGAGGTGGTGCCACCCTATACTCTACAACAAAATGGAATTGCAAAAAGTAAAAATCGAACCATCATAAATATGGTGAGAAGTATGTTGAAAGGCGAGAATTTACCTAAAGAATTTTGGGGTGAAGCTGTTTCGACTGCAACATACATTTTGAACAGATGTCCTACAAAGAAGCTAGAAGAAATTACTCCAGAAGAATGTTGGTCTGGTGTGAAGCCTAGCTTGAGTCATCTGAAGATATTTTGATCTATTGCACATAGACATGTGTCAGATCAGTTGAGGAGAAAACTTGATGATAAGTCAAGTCAAATGATTCTAGTTGGATATCATTCGACAGGAGGCTACAAGTTGTTCGATCTAGTGAAAAAGCATATTGTGATCAGCAGGGACGTGATCATAGATGAGTTTAAAGAATGAGATTAGACTGAAAATATCAAGAAAGATTCAGTGGGAATCCTTCTTGAAGATCCAGAAACTCAAGTCAAAAGAGAAGTTCGACAGGAGGAACTAGCAGATATACCAAGTACAAGTAGGCCTCAAAGAACAAGACGCATGCCTGCAAGATTGCAAGATTGTGTGATTACATCAGATAATGTAATAGATAATGAAGGTGATCTGGTACATTATGCTTTTTATGCAGATATCGAACCCGTTAATGCAGCTGAAGCATTAAAGGATTCGAAGTGGGTGAAAGCAATGAATGAAGAAGTAAAGTCTATCAAAGACAACAACACTTGGTCACTTGTCGAATTTCCTCAAGGCAAGAAGGATATTGATGTCAAGTGGGTATACAAAGTGAAAACAAATTCGAAAGATGAAGTAACTCGACACAAAGCAAGACTCGTGGCGAACGGATTTCTACAGAAAGAAGGAATAGACTTCGATGAAGTTTTTGCACCTGTTGCTAGGATCGAAACAATCAGGTTAGTTGTTGGTCTAGCAGAAATAAACAGTTGGCACATATGTCTGATGGACGTGAAGTGTGTATTCCTAAATGGACCCTTAGAAAAAGAAGTTTATGTTAAACAACCAGTTGGATTTGTGAAATATGACGAAGAAAGAAATGTGTACAGGCTACATAAAGCCTTGTATGGATTGAAACAAGCTCCAAGGGCTTGGAATAAGAAAATTGATAGTTTTTTAAGGGAGAAGGAATTTGTGAAGTGCACAACTGAACATGGAGTATATGTAAGAAGAAGCAGGAGTAAATTGCTTATATTATGTCTTTATGTAGATGATTTGTTGATAACAGATAGCTGTAAAAGTGAGATCGAAGACTTCAAAGGTGATCTCAACAAAGAATTCGAAATGTCTGATTTGGGTGAGATTTCATATTTCCTTGGTATCAAATTCTACAAGAGCAGTAGAGGTTTGATGATGCATCAAAGAAGATATGCAGGAGAAATTCTCAAGAGGTTTGAGATGGAAGAATACAACTCAACTTCGACACCTGCAAAACCAAGACTGCAACTATCGAAAAATGCAGATGAAAATGATGTTGATCCAACCAAATACAGAAGACTTATTGGATCATTGAGATACCTTTGTCATATAAGGCCTGACTTAGCATATAGTGTAGGTATGGTAAGTAGATTCATGCAGAAGCCAAATGTATCACATCTAGAAGTAGTGAAAAGGATACTAAGGTATCTCAAAGGAACATTCGATTATGGCATTTTGTTTCCTGCAGTTGATAAAGAAAAAGAATGCAAGTTAGTGGGATACACTGATTCGAGTTGGTGTAGTGATGTTGAAGATCGAAAGTCAACAGCAGGATATGTGTTTATGCTAGGTGGTGAACCAGTTGCTTGGAATTCAAGAAAGGAACCAGTAGTGGCATTGTCATCATGCGAAGCAAAATACATAGCTGCTTCTCTTTGTGCATGTCAAGCAACTTGGATGGTAAACTTGGTCGAAGAGATAACAGGGAAAAATCACGGAGCAATTACCATGAAGATAGACAGCATGTCAGCTATTAATCTGGCGAAGAACCCAATAGCACATGGTCGAAATAAGCACATTAAAATGAGGTTCCATTATCTTCGAGAGCAGGTA